ACCCAGGAGAGCAGACCAGGTACTACCCACATTACGGTGAGTGTCCCTAATTCTTGGCCTCTGTACACATGCACATTAAATAGGGGAAGCAGAGTCCCATGAAGGCACACAGAATGGGGTGATGCATCCGTATATGAACTAAAGGTGGAGAAAAGGCAGGCAGGATGCATTCCCATTATCCACTCACTTTTCAGATAGTTATAGAGCAGCACCCCGTTGAGCATCCATGATTAAAGTAACACTGCAGACTCCACTCTCTTTCTCACAGAGGCAACAGGCCACAAGGGTGAAAAAGGGAGTTGCATTTGAGGCTTCCTGAAGAGTGGAGGACAGGTGGTCACAGCACTGTCCAGAGACCTCTGTGAGCAAGGGCTGATTATGGTTAGCACACAGGATACCCTGGGAGGGCAGTTTGGGAGGGAGGCCAGACCTGGAGTGCTGCTTACACCTGTCCTCCTCAGGATCAGAGTTTCTCTTCTTGGGTCCTGGCAGGTGCTGCTAAGCAAGGTGGTAAAATCAGCCCAACCTAATCTGATTGATTTGGGCCAAGCCTAGCTCACTGAAAATGAGCACTACAGTGAGAAGGAATTGGCCTGGGTCTGTTGGTTTCTGAGGAGGACACGGGGCACTTTAGAGGGAGAAAGAATCTCAGACTTGGGGCCTCCTGCAACACAGAGGCATGCAGAAGTGACTGGGGTCAGGGAGAATGGAGAGTTTTCCTGGGGTGCATTTGTGCACAGAGCTGTCCCTGACAGGCCCTGGGAGGCTTTGGGGCTTGCAAGGAGCAAGGACAGTTGGTGATTTTTCTAAATCTGGGCTGATAATGGACTGAGCTCAAGGTCTACTTACAGATCTTGTGCCAGCCTCACCTCCAATGACCTCACCAGCTCTGGGATCAATCTGAAAATCAAGGTCAGATACCCGCTCTGGTGGTATTCCAAGGCAGGTCTCTCACTGGCTCCATGGCAGGTGTCCTGAGCTCCACTTAGGGCTCAAGTCCTGCAAATCACCTGCCCTTCACTTCCCTTTCCCTTTACCTCTTCTATTTCTCAGTTTTCATTTCTACTCTTAAATCTATAGTTCTTTGAAACATTAAATTCTAAGATAATTTTAAGTTAAGATTTCATTAGTTTCCACATGTTCAGTTGAGTCAAACGTAAGCACATCATCAATTGGTACAATCTTTACATCTGTTGAGTTCCAGCTTTCAGCTCAGTGTTGGACCCATCCATGCCCCTGTTCTCTCCTGCTAGTCCCCACCCACCACTGACCTTTCTCTCACTGTGATTTACTACCCTTGGTCTTTCGTATCAGTGCATCAGATTCTGGGAGGAGGAGACTGGAGGAGACTGGCTGCTACTGCTCTTTGAATGAAGAGAAAATCCTAAAGAAAAAAGTCTATAGGGAAAATGCAGACACCATTGTGTATGTACTGATCTTTTCATTTCTGAAAATGTTTTTGGGTATTTCAGTGATACAAAGGGAGCTACAAAGGGCTGATTCATTACATTTGAAAAACAACAATAATGCAAAAACCAAAACAGGAAACCTTTCTTTACAACCAATAGTCAGATAGATGGTTTTTATTACAAGTGTGAAAGAGGATTCATGAGTCCATTTTGTGAGGGGAAATGGCAAATTCTAATAACTCAAAGTGAATCACCAGACATGGCCAACAAGCACAAAAAACACTGAGACCCCTAAACTGGTTTCATGGAAGCACACATCCCTGAAATGTGCTGTTTCCCCATCCACTGACACATTTTAAGGCAGGTGCTGAACAACAATGGGAAGGACATGGGGGGGGCAGAGCACAGCCCTATCTTGCAGCTCCCATCAGAGCTCTAAACAGCCTTCCCCAGAACTCCTAGGACTAAGAATAGAGTTTTCTCCCACACAGAATGCTGCACAAATTTTCAAGAGTTTGATTCACAGTACTTTTTGAAGCAGGAATGAACTGGAACCCTTGCTAGCCTCCACATAGAGTATGCACAGGAGAGCTGTCTGGATGATGCTGTTCACTGCAGCTGGGGGGAACCTTGCCCTGGCCCCAGGGCCACAGAGGTGCAGGGCTAAGGATGACAAACTCATGACAAGGTTTCCCCAGGGCCAGCCAGTACACTGGGAATCTTCACTGCAATCCAGCACCTCCCAAATCCAGAGACAGCACTGGGAAAGGGTGGCCAGTCAGGTGACAGAGAGCCCTGCCTGACACAGCTGTGCAAAATGTGTCCCTCTGGAGCTACATCTGCAGCAGATCCCACTCATTGCCTTCCTCATGTCTGGCATCGAGGATGTCACACAGAAGCACAGCAACATACTTGAAGCTTACTCAAACTAAATCATTTAGCTTCCCTTCAAGAATGACTGATGACTTCCCTTCAAGAAATTCCCTTCAAGAAATGATTTCCATTCAAGAAATGCACCAGTCTGGAAAATCAAGGCTGAGAACATCACTCTGCACTTTGTATAAATAAACTGACCCTTTAAAAGATATGGTGGTAATACATGTGGGTAGGTCTGCTATGGCAGAGATGTGGACTCTCATGCATACAGGTTTCATAACTGCAATAGAAATTTTCAAATAAATGATGCATGTTCATGACTTTCTGTTTGTATTGCACTACAGGAAGGGGGATCCAGGCAGCAACCTAGATTTACTGAGCTGCCTCAGAACACCTAGTACAAAACCCACTACACAATTCCATCACCCAACAGTGAAAGCTCATCAACGTGGTTCCTGCTTGTTGCAACTGGTAGTTGACAATTTTGAGGTGTTTCTATCTGTGCCAGCCATCTCTGACTCTCTTAGCTTCTGTCTGCCAGAGTGTGGATCAGACTATATGTTTACAAGAATGTTCTGTCATGATTTGAGGATCAGTGGCAGCCTTTCATGTACTAGAAATAATTTTTCAAGTTTGGCCATAAGAAACCTATACCATGTGCTTCACAAGTTGAGGGGAAATGAGATTGTTTGAAATACATACAGAAAACTCATTTTGTCTGTGGCAGACTCACTTGCTGCTGAAGTCCATATTTTTGAGGTAAAAAGGCATGAGTCAGGGGTTGTTGTACGATATGCTAAAATGCACAGAATCTTCCCGAAGTGCAGCTTCTGCTTTATTTCCCTCATTCTACCAAGCCACAGAATGGATTCTGAGCATTCAAACACATAGAATTAGAACTGCAGTAGAGATCTGTAAAAACTTCAGTTAACTGGAAAGTGAAAAGACAAAGAAAGGTTTTTGGCAAAATGCACCTCTAAATATATGCTTAAAGCAACAAAGAAACCAAGAAGAAGACTAAGAAGTCCAAGACAAGGACAAAGACAAAGATGAAGAGAAGAAGAGGAAGAGGAAGAGGTAGAGGAAGAGGAAGAGGAAGAGGAAGAGGAAGGAGAAGAAGAAGAAGGAGAAGGAGAAGGAGAAAGAGAAGGGGAAGGAGAAGGAGAAAGAGAAGAAGAAGAAGGATAAAGAGAAAGAGAAGAAGAAAAGCAGGAAAAAGAAAGAAAAACAAAAAGTAATGCTGATGTGTGGGGTTTTGTCTCCAATGCCGCAGCCTCATTTAGAAAGGAAAGGATCAAAATTTGTGGAATGGAAGGGTCACTGTGGAAAACGGACTTAGTCCCAAGGCACTGATGGTGTGTCTGGCCCACTATGTAAGTCCATCCCAGTGCAGAGACTGGAGCCTGGTGGAGGCCAAGGCCAGGATCCAGGAGTTGAGGGCCCTGGGGCTGAGGTGGCAGAGACTTTGCTGCACACTGGTGGCTCTACCTTATTGGGCCTGCAGGGCTGCAGCACGGATGCAGTGGTGGAAATGGGTGTAAGGCAGGAGGTGCTGGGCTCCTCTGCATGCTGCACACTCACTGCTTGACCTGAACACAAAAAGATTCAAGACATCCTTGCTGGAAAAAGAGACTTTGAAGAAGATTCTGGGTGTCTTCTACCAGAAATAGATGAGCACAGTGACTTCTCAGGTAGGGAGTGCAGGACACCCACCCCAGCGGGATCCGCATGGCTTTATGTGGTGGGGGTTTAAAAGTTAGTCATGAATGATGTGTTGCCTTTCTGAATAAAGACTCCTTATTTTATATATCTATAAAGTGATGCTTGAATGTTCTTCTATATGCTTATCCTACATTACATATAAAAGAATATTAAGTCATCCATTTCCACTCACCTATTCAAGAAAATACCAACTATTTATTCTTAAGTGAATTGAACAGGAGAGAAGTAACATTGAGTGGAGCACTATAAATAATGCAATGGAAAAACCCCAAAGGCATCCCTCCCAGAATGATAGGTCTGCCATTGACCAGCTCCTCTCTCCTGTCCTCACCTGCTGTGCAGGCCTGTGTCTCTTCACTGCTGGTGTAGAGAGGCCAGGACACAAGCTCTCTTCCATCTCAGGAAAGATCAGGGACATGGCCTTCTTTCAGGATTTTGTGTGGATGTCATTTAAAATTAACTCAGCAGCTGTGCTGTGGAACATTCATGGTTTCTAACTGTCCACACCTTAGCTGACTAAGAAGAGAATATGGTGTCTATCAATCTCATTTTTTATAATGACCCTTAGAAGTGGAATTTCCAGGTTAAATATATATAAGATGAATTTGAGGGACACAGATATTTCACTGAAGCTTCAGCATAGAGTTAGAGCCTGGTAGAGGAAGACTGAGTCTGCTCATGTCTCTGTGGATATCTGAAGTCAGAGAGATGGTCCAGGCAAAAGTGCAGGACACCATGGCACCTAGCAGGAACCATGGCTAAAAAGGGCCCAGTCCAGGCTGCCTCATCCATTAATGAGTTCTAAGGAAAGCATCATACACTCCACACTGGATAGGAGAGAGCTGGAATGGTTCCAGAGTTCCTCCCTACATGCCTGAAGCCCCTATCTCACTCAGAGAAGCTCTGTATGAGAAGCTCAGTCTGTTACAGAGCTCAAATTGACTGAATGTTTTCCACCCAGGTGCAGACCTGAACTGCCACATGTCGACTCACCATAGCTGTGGAACAGGACAGGTGTTTACAGGGTGCAGGCCAGGAGATGGAGGCACTGCAGGCAGGTCAGGATAGAAAGCCTTAAATAAGAGACCAGGCCATCACCAGCCCCAGTTTCCTCCAACAGTAACCAAACCCTGCAAGAGTGTGCATTAAAAACTGAGTAACTGAAAGGAGTTACTCACAAAATTATATATTATGGAGATAGTTTGAAGATACAAAAGTAAATGGTAGCATCCGTAAATAAAATGAGACGTGACCCTTAAAAGATATGTGGTGTCCATTGATGTCCCCAAAGCACATGCATCAGAAGGAAACAGTCTGATGAACAGAGAAATAAGGAGCACAGGCAATGGGTAAACATCACAGCTGCTTAATAACAACAACAAAGCTGGGATACCATAAGTGCACTGGTGAATTTTATCCAGTATGTGATAAACAATGAATACTGATTGTTTTTCAATTCTTCCATCAAGTTGGAGAAAAAACCACCACCAACTTTTTTTAAGTGACAAGTCATCCTGAGAATGAAGCCAGACAATAATGTGTTAAAAATAAAATAAATGAAAACACTCTGTTAGCTAATATTCCTAACGAACATACACAAATTATTCAGCTAAATATTTGCCACATTAACTCACCACCACGTTCAAAATTAACCAACACGATCAACACTGGGCTCAATCTCAGTGGTGCAAGAATGTTCCCTCTCGCACAAACTATTAAATGTCACTTACCACATTCACAGCATAAGGCACAGCTAAACCCTGAAGAGATTTGGAAAAACAGCTTTGAGAAGCTGAAAAGGTACCATTTTTTCATGATAAAAATCATTCATAAACTATAAGTAGGAGGAATGGACCTCAGCACAGCATGACAAGCTCCATCCTTGACATGGTGCTCAGGGGCTGAAAAGCTGCAAGCTTAGCTTCTAGGATCAGGAAGGAGACAAGGCGTGCAACTCTTTTCAACATACAGTACTAGAAGTCCTGGCCATAGAATTTAATCCAGAAAGAGAAAGCAAAGCCTTCCAAATCAGAAAGTAAGAATTAATTGTTGTTGCTGTTCTCCTGAGGGTGCAGCATTGTATATAAGAAATTTAAACTCCATTGACAACCATATAGAACAAATTCACAAATCACTTAAATTGCAGGATACATGAGCAACATGCCCTAATCAATTCATTACTATGTACTACAAACAAATTGTAGCCTCAAATACAAAGAACACAATTCATTTCACAAATAATCAAAAATAACTAATGATTAGGTTAAATTGAAGCAAACTCACATCTTCTTGGAATGCAATAAGTAGAAGAGCACTAACAGAAGAAAAGCCATACTGTGATGAGGGATGGGAAGAATTCATGTTATAATGTACATTCTACCCAGAGCAACCAGGTGTTTTAGTGCCATTCCTGTCAAAGTATCAGTGCCATTTTCCTAGAAACATAAAAAAAAAAAATATGAAAATTCACAAGGAAGTACAAAGAGTCATCCTATAGCCATAGAAAGAACATCAAAAGTAGAGGGATCAAAATAGTAGTTTCCAGGTACTATAAAGTAACAGTAGTCAAAAGGGTTTTACACTGGAAGAAAAGGACACAGACTAAAAAAGCTTGCCCAGATGCACATCAAGTGACAAAATCACTAGGGGTTTTATTTATTTCTTCTTTCCTTTCTTTTCCTTTCCTTTTCTTCCCTATTTTTTCATTTTCTTTTTATAGTCAGGGTCTCCCTGTGTCATTGTAGCCTGAGCTAAACTCAGAATATGTTGCAGGCTTGTCTGGAACTCCCACGAATCCTGCTGCCTCAGCCACTTGAGTACAGGCATTACAGGCATTTTCACCATTCCTTGCTCAGCCAATAAGTTTTTAACAACACTATGATGAGACCGGGTCTGGTGGTGTGGCTTGTAATCCTAGCAGTCTGGAAGGCTGAGTCAGGAGCATCACAAATTCAAGTTAAGCCTCAGCAATTTAGCCATTTATTTAAGGACCTGGCTTAAAACAAGAAAAGTGTTAAAAGGTGAAGACAAAGAAGCCAATGCAAAGCTCTGTATTCAAGTCCTAGAAATTGAACAGCAACAACAACAACAACAACAACAACAACAACAAAAACCTTACAACTGACACCAGGAGGGAAAATCAATTTTTACACTGGCCTAGCCTTCTGGAAGGGAGTGTGCCCCAAGTAGCTTTAACCTTCCCACCTTTTTTGTGATTTGACTTCAAACAATCATCAAATTTCATGAGGAATCAAAAAAAAAAAAAAAGAAAGAGAATGTGCTTCAAAGACACTAAGCCTCAATCCTAGTGCAAAAGGCATTTGGAGTGATCTTGTGAAGTGCCTGCTGACCACATTTAGAAAACCAGAGAATCTACTAACGGTGTTAATGGGATTTTCAGTCCTACTCACTGTGAAAGAAGCTGCAGGTGAGGAATGTGGCGGACAGCTTAACTAGAGTGACTCCATTTACAAAGTGTCTGAAGACCAAAGCCAAACATTTTATTGCATGAATAAACAACACTGCTACCAATTGCCAACTCAGGATAATATACACCTGTAATCCCAGCATTCTGGGAGAGGGAGGAATGATGAAGAAAGGTTTAAACCTAGCCTGGGACATTTAGAAAATTAGTGAGACCATGTCTTAAAATTTGTACCAAACCAAAGCTTTTACAAATGTATGAAAATATTAATCTTTAAGAAATCTCAGAAGTCACTGAACAAGGTACTTTAATCACTATTAATCTATACTTATTTTATCTTTAAAAAGTGTATCTTAAAAAGTGTATCTTTATATGATTCTTATTATTATTTCAAAATAAAAATAGTAATCCCTTGTCAAATTCTGGTACTAAATATAAATTTAGGACAGAAAAAAAAAACAGAATGATCAAAATCTCTTCATACTGAACTACCCAAATCCTAAGAGGATATATTCAGCAGCATATCTACAGTCATCTAAGTAAAAAGCCTTTAAAAATTTGAAAGAGTACAAACACCTGGAAGAACATCAATGTCTCCATGATGGTAAACCTTATGCTAGGTGTGCTGACTAAAGTACACATGCAAGAGAACCTCATGAAGATTTCTCAGTAGAAAGTCTATTTTTGACTTTTTATTTTTATCTTTTTTGCTCTCTTTCTTCTTTCCTTTTTTCTTCAGACAGGGTTTTGCTATGCAGTTCAGTCTGACCTCGATCTTCCCTTGTAGCCCAGGATGACCTAAAACTCACCACAAACTTTCTACCTCAGAGGCCTAGAATGACAGGTGTGCAACAACATCCCTGATTGTGTTTTCCTCTTTAAATTTTCTCCAAAACAAAACTCCTCAAAGTTTTTGATATTCTCAAAGTTCATCAGGTTGGTTATACAAAACCAAATCAGAAAGTACCAAAAACACCCTGAAGGACTTTCAAAATCCTCACCAACATATAACACAATATAACATAACAGAGCATAATATAGTATAGCAAAATAACACAAAACAAAATAAAAAAGGAACCACATAACTCTGCTTTAAACATCTGCTTCCAAAGATACAGCAAGAATTTCTAAGTTATCCATACACCAGCAATATGACGCATTTTCTTTGAAATAAATGTCAGTATCCACTCAAATGCTTGTGTAAGAATGAGGGTGGCAGCTTCCTTTTGAAGTTCGACCCAAAAACATAAAAAATGGCCATCACAAGATGGGTGACAGGTGCATGTGCTTGGTTCAGCCACATAATAGTGGGTGGTGGCAGCACAGAGAGAGCCCAGCATGGAAACATTGCTTCAGCACCATCACCTCTAGGAAAGGGAAACTACCCATCAGGGACACAAAGCCCATGGTCTGATTGGCATGGGAGGAAAGGAAGTGACAGCAGCAGCTAGGAGACAAGTTCCATAGGAATGATGCACATGTGTTCTTCATCAGTATGGGGTAATGATGTCACCTGCCCTTGTACTCACCACCTGCTGTCCCCCCTCCCTGGAGGTCAGAGGTTTGAGCACTACAGTGTATAGCTGAGTTGAACATCTAAGGATGAATAAATAATCATTCATAAGCACGTGAGAGTAAAACTGGCTATGAATCCTCCTCCCCGGATATATGGGGTTTATAACATGAGAACATCACATTGTTTGGTAAAATTATTATGGGTATTCTGCTTCCTAATGGAACTGAAATTAAACTAATATAAGCCCAAGAAAGGAAGTCATCCTAACATTTGACGAATCTTTAACAGAAGACAATGTGTCTTTCATCCTCCGAGACAATGGATCCTTTGGATGGACATTTCTGTTTGGCACCCAGCCTGACACATCTGAAGCATCTACATGTTTGCTGCATTAAAATTTTCAAAGTCTAAATGTAAACACAGTTTTCTAGCATTTTAACTTGTTGCTTCTAAGGAGGACATAGATTTGTTCCACAACAAAAATAAAGGTGATATCACAGAGGAAGGCCAAATTGTGGACCCCAGTGCATGACCTCACTTTCTTGGTGACAGGTCCAAACAGAACTCTGAAGGCTCAGGTCACCAGGCACCTTGGTCTGGTGACAGTTGGTCTTTACAGACAGTTGGCTCAAGACAGTGAACAGGGAGCAGGTTATGCTGCTTTCCCAGGACACGGGACCCCAGTCTCAGGATCCCACATAGGTAGACCATGTGGGAATGGCTGAAAAAATGGTTCACTCATCCCAGAGCCTTCAGGATTATTGCTGGCAAATGTCAAATGACAAGCACATTAAAGGACAGGGCTCATTGTCCCCAGCCTTCTGGGACCCAGAGGCAGGAGAGAGACCAGGACAGGTATCACAAGACTCAGCCAAAGCCACTCAGACTCACTGAGTCCAGCAGAGTAACATTAAGGCCTGACCACCACTGTGAATCCCCCTACACAATTCCTGCCCTAAGTCAAGTGTGACTGGGTCTGACATGTCCTGAGGGCAGATACTCATGGGCAGGTGCAGGTCCGGAGGGGATGCAAGCCTGGGCCACTGTCAGGTTCCCAC